AAAAAAAACTCTTCCTTTTTTTTTACTATTCAAAACCCACTGCCGGGATTTGGGACAAGCGGGTCGTAGGTAACTATCGTTATTGATACAATATATGGGGGTGAGAGTCAGATTGAATTCACACCTTCAGATATATGTGACCAATTATTATTGAACTGGCATAAAGTTTCCAACTTGTATGAACTTCTGATTATACCATTTTGGTATAGATTTGGGATGCATTTCATACGGTTTATCTTCTCGTATGTTCAATGGTGTCAAATTATCAGCCACATTATTGGTTACTTTATGCTGCTCTAATAATTCTTGAAAAAATTATTATTGGATGTGGTCTCTTAGTGTGACTGACAAGTCAGGAAAATTCTTTTTAATAATTGTAAATTTCTCTTCGAATATATATATATATATATATATATATATATTTTGTTGGACTTCTCGCATCATTCTTAGATAATTACGACGTATGTGGGTGACGGCAATGTAAAAGGGTGAGTACTAATTTTCTTTCGAGATTTTATTGATGCTTTGGTTAGTTTAGTTATGCACCCTATCCAATTATCAAAAATTAAATAATATTAATTAAGTTAAATTATAAATTTGATCTACAAACTCTTAAGATCCAAGTATTTTAAAAAGTTTTTTAATACAAGTTTTCATCATATAATTTTGTATCTTAATTTAAATTAAACGTTTATGGTGTGTGTAAGCGTGAATTGAGTATATGAACAGAATCTTATCGGAAAATGGCGTTAAGGGCCGTTTATAGTTAACGAGTCAGAGTTCCCCATTTTGTTTTTGTTTTCTTTTTATAAACAAGATTATTTTGGACAAACTGTGTTCATTAAATTATATTTTTACTGTTCAACTTCATTTTAATGCATAATTTTTGTAAAATATTTTGTTTTGAACTTTGCAATAAGAAACCATCTCAGTTTGAGTTGACATTTTTTAAATATTATTTAATAAAAATTAATTTAATATATACATATGCTTTTTTTTGGTAAATAGCTAGATATACATTTTTTTCCTAAAAAAGAAAAATAAATATTTATGTAGCAGACAAGTTCTTTTTTAGTGTAGTATCTTTTCTAATATGGGATTCAAACTCATGATCTCTCGATAAAAAATATGTGTCAGATTGTTGTTGAATTAAACTCATGTTGGCTTTTAATACATTATTGTATTAAATTAAAGTAAGTTAGATGTTAGGTTTTGGAACGAATTCATATTTTTGTTTAAAAAATTAATGTAAAATCTAAAGGGCAAAAATAGTATATTTGAAAGTTAAATAGTCAAAATTATTTGAAACCCGTGGATTTAGAGCCATTTATGCAAGATTGTATATTTTAAAATCAGATTTAATTGTAATATTTTTTTGTTTGAGAACTAAATATTAAAAAAATTAATAATAGAAGTAATAATTGAATCAAATATATAACTCTTAAATTTTTGTATTTTAATAATAGTGCAATGAATAGGATAAAAAGGGAACAGAAGATAAAGATCCCAAAGTATACTAGATCTATTTTTGAGCAATTATGCAATATTTTCCCCCTTAGCATGTGATTGATAAATTTATATTATCAATATAATGTAATATAGTTTGTATCTTTTTTTTGTTCTAAACATGAGATAAATTTGTGTATCTTGGATTTTTAAATAAAAATTAAGGATTTTTTTTATCTCCTATATGTAGCATAATAAATTATTTTTGTAACTTAAATTTTCAAATTCATCAAATTGATCTTAGATTTCCAATATCATAAATTACACTATTTATTTAAATTTGAAGCTTAATTTGTGAAAATTTGAAATAAGTATTTCTTTAACTCGTGTATTAAAAAAATGTTCAACTTATTTACCATGTTTTTATTGCATTTTATCTACTAAAAATATATTTTAAGAAAAGATCATAATCATTTCTATATATTAAAGAGTTCATACAATAATGATGGATTTTCTTTTGGGTCAAATACTGTATATATTACTTATGTGTGTTTAATAATCATTTCATCTCGTTATCGAGAAAATAATAATAATAATAATAATAGTAATCATCTTTGTTTAGTATAATAATAATAGTAATAATCATGTCATCTTTGTAACTTTAAAAATCAGGTAATTTTGTAATCATTGCACTTTTTATGTTTTTTACACTTAAAATATATATGAAATTATAGCCCAATTTGAAGAGTTTAAAATACGTTTATTTTAAAAAAAATTATTGATTTAATAATTTTTATAATTTTTTTTTAAACAAGCCCAGGAGTCATTTTGTGCTAAGTTTTTAAAGATATATGCATAAGATTTCAAAAATGTTTTTAGAATGTAGAAAAATAAGAATAAAATTGACATTAAACAAACTTAGAACCTATATTTTTAGGAATTAGGTTTTAAAAAAATTATTTATTTAAAAAATGTTATGCATTTTTTAACTTAGAAGACTTCTTTGGAATAATTCCTAAAAAATTGTTTTGGAAACCAGAAAGAGTAGAAAATATAAATAATACTTTTCTTGTCTTCACAATTGGTTAATGATTTCTTTAATTAGTTCTTCATTTATGATTATTAATTATTATTTTAGGTATAGCTTTGATTTAAATGTGTTATAATTTTGGATTAATAAGTACAAAAAATAAACAAAATAATATCATTCCAAATAGGTTTTTAATTAGTTTAAGAATGTGACATAGAAAAGTGTAATATGAAAAATCGTTTTTACAAAAAAATTTTAGGAAAATATACCCAAATAGCTATTAGTTTTCTTAAAAAAAAACAAGAAACAACATTCTTATCAAATAAGCTTTTAAAAACACATAAAAAAAAAAGCATACTTATCCTAATGCAATGAGTCAATTTTAATTTTAAGTTTTCAATTTATCATCAAATTAAACTTAAAACTTTAATCCAATTACAAAATCAATGTCATGTGAATAAACAAAATTAGAACATTGTCCATTAACTCAACCAATTATGAATTAAAAATTTTTTAATGAACAAATATTCTACCAAAGTGTTCAAATCCAACTATGAAAATACTAGCTATAAATATATAAATAAATAAAATCCTATGAAAATACTTCGAGTTCAATGTCAAATTTGATAAAATAAAAAAAGTTTTAAGATTAAATGACCCATTCAATCAAGAGAAAATAAACACTTACAAAACTAACTTAACGTCAACGTGAACTTAACTCAACTGGTTAATTAATTAAGACATATATATATCTTACTAAAAAGTCATAGGTTCGATCCAAAAGTGAGCATAGCTCAGCGTTAATTGACATATATCTTCAATTAAGAGGTTGTGAGTTTAATCTTCTACCCCACATGTTGTATTAAAGAAAAAAAAAGGTCATGAGTTCGAATTCCCACCCTCTGTTACACGCTCATATGGTAATTGTCATATGTTTTTGACCAAGAGATCATAAGTTTGAATCTCCTCATCTTCACTACTAAATTATGTTCTAGTCGGTAATTATACGTTAAGTCAAGGGAGTGATTTGGGTTTGCTTGAAAACAAACAAAGATAAGATGACAAATTAAGGATATATCAATAATTATGGAGTTACTTTCACAATGCTTTTTCCCAAAACCATGAACATCATTATATTTTGGCTGAATCCATGTGCCATACAAAAGCTCAAATGCATTCCCAAATGTCTTTCAACACGTGCACATCAGGTGCCTTATCCACCACCTATTACATATAATTATATATAATTTTATATAATGTTTGTGTTCTCTCTTTTAATCATTTTCTAAAAAGAAAAAAAAGGTAAAAAAAAAAAAAAAAGCCAACTAAAGGTGATCATCATTATGGCATATCATGGTAAAGAAAAAGTAAAACTAAAGCTGCTCACTGATTATTTGTATTAAATTTAATAAAAAAAAGTTAACTGTTAATTTCTATATATATATATAAAGATATTCTTTTATATTATAAAATTCTTTAAAGAGACCTTTCATATATATGTGGCATAATGAAAGATGAGAGAACATGTTGGTTTATATTCCATTCCAAGCTAGCTACTTCTATTTTGGTCTTTCTATATGGAAAAAAATTATTATAGTCATTTTTTTATTTGTTTCTTTTTAGTTAATAAACTATTTAATATAGCTACCTTATATTTGGCACATATTTTTCCTTTACTAACCAACCAAATAGATATTTAAATAATAGACAATTTGTTGAAGAAATTACCTGTGTTTTTTTTTTTAAAATTCAAACATATATCTGTTAACTTTTATAATAATTAAGAAGCATTCATATGGTACATCTTAATCAGTTGAGTTATATAAAGTTAGCTACATGTGGTATATTCTTATTCAAATGATTTTTAAGTTATCTATCGTGTTTTTCTCCGGGGTAGCATTGAAGATTTTTTAATAGAAAACCTTTCCCCTTCTTAACTACACAAGAAACACTCTTTGGTGAGAGCTGTACTAGATTTTATTATCCGGAACATTTGGTTAGAAAAGAATAATTGCACCTTCATGGATTC